GCTCTGTGGTACAGAGTCCTGATCACTCCTAACTTGTGTTCCAGTAGGTGGTGGGAGTCAAACTAAGAACCAAGGAGTGACTGTGATGGCGACAGTATTTATATGTGCAGGCGGAGCCTGACATCTGTCGTCATCACGTCACCTGCCTAAAGGCGTGATTAGAGGTGGCTTCAGCCAGGACACGCAGGGGCGTGGTTCCCATACATATGTTGTACCGAGTGAATTGACTGAAAGGGAACCAGGAGTTTATTAAAGCAAAGAAGTGGAATATTCTTGAATGGCCAAGTCAGTCATCTGATCTCAACCCAACTGAGCATTTCACTTGTTAAAGACTAAATTTCAGACAGAAAGGCCCACAAACAAACAGAAACTGCAAACCGCTGCAGTGAAGGCTTGGCAGAGCATTAAAAAGGAGGAAACACAGCGTCTGGTGATGTCTAAAAAAATCAAAATGTTTGTGTTAGATTTACTTAATAAATTATGTTCAACAGGTTCTACTCAATTGAACTGAGTAAATCCAAAACATTTTTTTCACTTGCTTTGTAAGTGAATGTGAAGTAGTTGTGTTAGATTTACTCAATTCAGTTGAGTAGATGCAAATGTTCAGTTTTTATTTTTTGAGTGGAACATTTGATTTACAATAGTCAGATTACTTTTGAGGCCCTGAAATGAAGGGATTGTGTTTAAAAATGCTTTAGTTCTTCACATTTTCATACAATCATTTTGTTCAACCCACAGATTTAAAGTTGAGAGTCTGAACTTCAACTGCATCTGAAATGTTTTGTTCAAATTCATTGTGGTAATGTCTAGAACCAAAATTAGGAAAATGTATCTGTCCAAATAAATATGGACCTAACTGTACGTTCACAGATTAATGCAAACCAAACAAGCAGCTTGGCAATGAACTTTTAGGTGCATTACTGTCACCCACAGGACCAGAGTGTGTGCAGCAGTGTTTCCTGTGTGTCAGAAAGTAGAGACCTGAGAAAAATGCGATTGTTTTTAGCGACTTTTTTTTAGTAATTATTTGTGATTAACTCCTTAATGTTCACACTGAATATTGAAAACTTTTCTGTTGTCATTCATCTCTCTGCAGGCTCGACCTGGAGTGGCGGGAGCTCTCGGGAAAGCTGCTGGTTGGTGCTCAGTAACCTCACACCACAGGTACACCCAGACACACTTTACATATTATTTTGCAGGTTGATTCAATGGTATTGTTTAAAAAATAATAATAATATCCAGAACTTTAATTTCTGCTGACTGTTTATTTTAAAAACAGCCAGTTTTATATGGGTAAATAAATGTTCTGATATAATTATCTTGACCCACCGTTGCTCCTCTATAAAACATTTGTGCATCTTGTATTTTTTTTCTGCAGATTGATGGCTCGACTCTGAGGACCATCTGCCTGCAGCACGGCCCCTTGCTGACCTTTCACCTCGGCCTTACCCAGGGCACCGCTCTGATTCGCTACAGCTCTAAACAGGAGGCAGCCAAAGCTCAGAGTGCCCTTCACATGTAAGCTGCTGGAAAATACTTCATGTCATTCAGCATCAAATGTGTCCCCAGTTAGCACTTCGAGATAGGAAGTGGTTTTTTGACCTTTTTACTGGGGTAAACAGATGTAAAGGTTATTATCATAAGTTGTTGTATTAAAGGGATCCCTGATTAGTTGTAAGATTAGACTTTATTTGATAAACATATATTTTAACTGTAAAATAAAGACTAAAAGTTTAGTTTTATAAATTTTTAAAAATATATTTTAACACGGACGGGGCCATTTTATTTACACACAAAGCATTCTGGGTAAATGATGACGTGGAT